ATATTTATTAATAATTTATTGTTTTAGTGTTTTAATGATTTATAGCATTTTAGCGATTTATAGCGATTCTTTATCAACCTATATTAAGAAAAATCGTGATTCAAATTTGTACGTAGCCAAAAACAAAAAAAATATAAATAATTGTTAATATACACTTCATAGATTTTTATTTCTTTTTTGCATATATTGCAAATAAATACTAATATATAAATTATATTTCCCAATTGTGATCTCAAGAATAGTATTAGGAAAACAGTAGACAACTATCAAGACCACATATCAATTTTTCTAGTTGCCGAGGTAGGACACCATGTCACCAGGGCGTAGTAATTGTTAAAATATTCCATGAACATTTTTTAATAGATTTGCTATTCCCAGATATTCACATAATTCAGGGTAATCGAACATGCCTACGACGCTCTCTTGTTTTATATTTTTAACAATAATAAAATCAGTTGTCTAATTTTTTTGATATCTTCGAAAGTATGTTTTACATTACCTGCGCAGTGTGGACACCATGTTCCACAATTTTTAACTCTACGAAGTGGGACACACCATGTATAATTCTTAGAACAGTACTATAATAATAGGGTTTTATTATCTTTATATTCAGTTGAAAGACATATTCCACCATGAGATTTGGCAATAATACAAGCATCATTTAAGGATAATTTTTTTATTGTGAACAAAGATTCACTAATTTTTAGATTTTATTCTTCTAATTTCAAAGGAGTATCCCAACCTAGTCTAATCGCTAATAGATCATCTATCGCCTTAGTAAAATCAAAAACTATGAAATTTCGATTCCGCAGATGCTTGTCAATAATTTTAGATGCCTTTTTCGGATTATCCGTATATTGACGCACAACTCTATGGATATCGTCTCTACTTCCACTCTCTCAGAACATGACTAGGTGTGAGATATTTTCACGAATTATCTTTGGTACGGCCTGATATTTCTGAGTTACATATATTGGCGAGATGTTTTGATGCCGATCGCTAATAAAGTAAGAAACAATTCGCTCTTGTATTTTTTTTAATTCGGCACAGAGATCTTCAAAAACAATAACAGTACTTCTTTTAGGGGAGAATTTACTTATATCTGGGATCTTTTCTGCCTTTATTGTTTGAAATAAGATATTCTCCTGATATGGCTCAGGACTATTAGCAAAAATATGGATAGCATTTCTTACTAGCTCCCATTTTGGCTTGGTATGCTTTCTAACTAAAATGAGATCATCATTTTAATATATCTATCCCCCTTCTTGCCTTTAAACATACGCTAAAGTTTATTGCCTAGAATAAGGTTTATAACCATATTAGTTTTTCCACTATGTGAACCCCCAATGGCTACCATACAAAAAGGCCAGTTTGGAGAATATTTATTGCCTTTCAGATGCTCCAAAGATTTTCTAGAGATCTCGTCAATGTTATACACAAAGAATTCCATATAGTACGATATATAAAGCACATCAAAATAAGAAATTTCAGCGAACTTATTTACCCAAAATTATGTGAACTTTCAAGGGTTAGGCTTCGCTTTATCCAAAAACCCTTTCTCAATTAGCATATGTCTAATGAAAGGCAAAAGGTCACATGTGTATAGCACTTCGATAAGGCATATATCTTGGTCGTTGCATATATCTCGCTTCTTTTGATCACGTATATTTTGTGATTTTAGATTTTCATTCTCCTGGTGATAGAAACTGGAATTCGAATGCAAGACGCAATTCCTCATTATATCCATCCAAGTGTAGCCTATCTAAGAACTTAGCCCTATATAGCAGGAATTTTTTGCCTAACAAATCTTCAAAAATATATCGGTATTGATGTTCGCTGCTTGAATAATGGCATAGAGAACACTACTTAAATTTTTTCATGATATATTTTAGCAGATACTTCTACTGATACACACCATTCTCACAAGATCAGAGATAGATACCGTGTCCATGTATTTGGCCAGTCTTCATAATACAATGCCCATTACGCTTTCTGGTGTATTCCTCAGCTCGAAATGCTTCAGAATTTGGTTGGTTATAGAACGTCATAGGAATAAGTATACTGTATATAGCAAAAAAATACTTATTGGTGTGTAAAATTGATAGATGCTTTGTTAGAATATCGATCCTACAAATTAATGAAATCACTATTGAATATTTGATATATTAATATTAAGATTCAGAAAGATTAATTGATAAGTCCTAGTACCCATAGTTCATCTTGGATAGTCTTTTCTGGATCTTCATCATCATACCACACATAAAAGAGATATATGTCATTTTCATCACAAAGATCTCTTTTGAGGTAGTCTCGTTCTAATTGTTTTTCAAAATCTCCGGGTTTTAGATGAAAGAATTTGATTCGATACCAGTGTTGTTCTTCCTGCACTTCGATCGTGAAACCTAAGTCATAATATGGAATATCAAGTTCTAATCTAGTTGGATATTCTCGTGTTTTTAAAAAATTAAACTTGCATATTTTAGATGATGATGAGCCTAATAATTTTGTTACAATTTCTCGACATAAATTTTTACGTTTGAATTTTTGGCAAAATGGGCACCAAGATTTATAAATTAAAACATTCTGTGGGTAGCCTCCCATATATGTCCCTGTTCACAAATCTATTGAAGTTTACTATAGGCTTTTCTGTAAATATCTGAAAGACAATTACCATTTTGTGACTTAGCATATCTGCATATATCCTTGATTGTTTTTTATACCCAGCACATGTTGGACACCATTGACCTTTATTTTTTACTCGATAAAGTGTCGATTGCTATTGATGATTGTATTGACAGCTCCAGGTAAGTAATCCATCAATATTTTAATATTTAGTTAAAAGACATTGTCTATGTCTAGATAACACAATTTGTTTTGCAATTTCAAGAGAGAGTAGTGCATTACCCGAACAGTATAGACACCAATACCCCTTTCTAATATTTGTTAATGTTTGCACCCACTGATGTGATTTTTCACATTCCCATATTAATGGACTTCGATTACTAATATAAGTGTCAGATATATATTTTCTATTTCTATTTTGAGCTATTTCTTTAGGTACTGAAATATTTAATCTAGTTTTATCCTGTCCACATTTTGCACACCAAGTTTTATCATATTTAATACGATATGATGCCACCCAAATATGACCATGCTTGCATTTCTACAAAAGTGGTTCTCTTGTATTAATATAAATTTCAGATCTACAATAACCTCCATGTTGTTTTGCAAACTCCTTTACGTCATTTAATGTCAATTTTTTTTTAGACATTTTAAGTACTGATCTTATATACTAATTAATATTTAAAATGTTTTGTAGGGGTATTGCAAAGTCTCTAAATTTATTTGCATTAGCTCCTCTCGTACAAATCCTGCTTTGGAGCATATTCATCATCATCACTCTCGAGGTAATATAAAACTAGTTCATTTTTTGCTACTACAATTTTTCGAATTTTATAAATAAAAGGCGAAAATACAGGATCGGTCGCACGTCTTTGATTTTCCATACCCCCTTTCTATTCTGCATTGGCAAGTAAGTAACAGACAGTATCACCTTTCTTTAATTTTGCTTCATCTTTTCCAACTGGGCGTTTATATTTTGCAGATGGTCTAGATTCTACACATTCTAATGCAATAGCTTTCACAGGCTCGAGCCTCCATTTTTCTGATTCTGGTTCTCGAATAAGACGTTTGGGGTAGTTATTTAGATAGTCTATAACTTCTGGTAAAAATCTAACCTATGCTTTTATTAATTTAGGATTAGAAGTTATCAATTCAATAGCATATTGGGTCTTATACAGAATTTTTGAGAGTGTCTGATTGAAACATTCCACAAATGCAAGACCTTGATGAGAATATGGACCAATTACTCGAATTGTGACGCTATGCTCTTGCAATAATCTGGAGGTCTTACCCATAAATTCATGACCCCATCATATTGTAAAAGCTTTGGCCATGTCAATGGATTATTTCGATTACCATATATTTTTCTAAAAGCTTTAGCAACCTCAGAACTTTTCTTTGATCTAAGAGGAACTGAAGCCTTATATCAGGAGCCACAGTTTATAATGTTAAGTACTGCTTTATATTTTTTACCTCTATAGTGGTCATGAGAGAGAAACAGTATATCGCATTGATAAACGCAATTAGGGCGTATTATTCGTCTGTAGCTAATTCTAGGAATGTATTTTGAAGAAGTTTTATTGGTTTGGTATGACTCCTGATTTTCTAAAAAATCTTTGCAT